TATGTCCTCATACTGAATTCGTGAATATAGTTTCCATATCCTCCCATACATGCTAACTGGCTTTTTAAAATTTGACCCATGAAGTCCACGGTATACAGATAAAACCTTCATCATAAACACAAAGCTCTACGTGATAAATATGTCAATCAAGGTAACTATGTATATTGTATATAAAATTAAATATCTTCTGTTTGCCAAGTATAATTTAACTATTTAACTATCTGTGGCTAGTTATAAAAAAATATTTATTAACCCATAGAGATTAAAACACAATTTCACTAACTCATCCATCCAGCACATCTGAAAGAATGGCACTGGGGTTCTGGATAGGTAACTTTATCTAATCACATTCTCATGATAAATAGACAACTTTGATTTCTGGGCTTATGTAAGAACACTTGTTTGGGGGGTTGGTTGGTTTTTGCTTTGTTTGTGTGTGTAGTTTTGTTTTAGTTTTATACATTATGCCCTAAAAATATTATTCTTACTTATTTGGGGCTTTTTGGTTTTTCTCCTCACAAAAGACAACAAGTAGGAACATTTACAAACTTGTCATGAGACATGAAAGTAACAGATACAGAACAAGGAGTAAGGAAGAATGGGGTGGGAGGCGGGAAGGGTCATATTAATAAAACCACGTATTAGATAGACATTTGCTGTGCCTGCACATCCCCAAAATAGCGCAAAGATGCCAAATAGCAGATTTGTTCAGGGACCTTAAAGTTCATGAAAAGCTAGTGGTTAATTCATTCATAACAGTCCACATGCAGCTTGCAGCAGATCAATTCTCCTGCTGTGTTCCACAGCATGTCAAGAACCAGTAAGTCTGCTGTGTTAAGAAGGGGCAATCATCGTATGATACAAAACTATTTGCAGGGGTGGGGGGGAGTAAAATAAGATTATCTCAGGGAGGATGAGAAACTTTCCCCAGTGTTCCCCTCTTCTTTCTAGACTCAACAATGAAATACAAATAAAACAACAATAGATCGTATCATGAGATGCATGGTGAAACACGTGTCAAAGCCTACAAAGAAGCACCCCACATCACTGATTTTATTTAAATCGCATCCAAGAGATATCTAATAAGCAAAAGATGAGAAGCTGCTTCTAAGATAGAGCTCATTGCTGATGCCATGCTTCTGAATAGAAAGCAGACTGAAACACAGGCATCAAATCTCTAGAGTCAGTACCTTGTCTTTCTCAAAAGGCAGAGGTAGATGAATCTCTAATCTTCTCAAGCTCTTAAGTATGTGGCTCCTACCAGAAAGCTTCCCCAGTGCAGTGTACTGGCTGGCTTCCAAAGTCCTAGGGGAAAGAATAATATTTCCCCCAGCACATCCAGCCCAAACATCATCAGCTATCATAAAAGGGCTAAGTACCATACTCCAGTAAAAAGATGTTGACACAGTATTCTTATGTTCCTTTTACTGAAGCAGACACTATACAGATGAATGAAGAAGGCTTAACAAAAATTAGATGTTAAAACAAGATGGATGAGGCATGAATATAGAAAATGGAAGGAACAAGTGGAGAGTAAGAAGGAATCAACCTTACTAAGAAGCAATTAAACTGTGAAATCAGTTCTTAATTACGGCTTTAGAAACTTCAACTGTAGACAGTGTGCACATCATTACAGGAATGTATGATGAACTAAGGCTGACAAATCTGAGCATACATGGCATTGAAAGGAAAACATATATTCTTACAACACTATACAACAGTTATTATGCTGTTGCTCCAATCATATCTTAGGCTTCAACTAATCTTTCAATGTGCATAGGTTGCAAAATTTGCTGTCATTTTTACACACAGAAATACATGGAGACTGCACGTTGAAGGCTTAGTTTGACAGAAGAGGACTAATCAGAACCAGTTTCAAGCACCCCATTCCTTCAAGATTCAACTGTTTAATTTAGTTTTATTTACAGTGGGGTTTGAGCCTCTTTATGGAGCTAAACAGCACTATGTGCTCGGAAATTACAAGCAAGACTGACTGACTGAGAGAAGCAATTTAATGTCACCTTTCTACACAAGTTTCCAACAAAAATTTAAACTTTCTATCCTATTTTCTTCCTTCAGAGCTTTTCTATGATGACTGCGGTTTGGGTAACAGTCTTAAAATATTACCACCTCTTCAATACACCAGGTGGGCACCAACCATGTATACATCACATGATATGTTTCAAATTTAGTTGTCTCTCATGTGCCTTCTATATAATCCAAACAGTAAATAATGTCTCTGTAGAGTAATAAATGCTTAACTTAAATTTTTAGAAAGTATATACTGTACACTACTAAAATCATCTTTGGTCCCGAAAATAAGGAAATTACAAATTTACATTTGCTTTTCTGTTTTACAAAGCATATCATATTTTAAATTAATACTCTCTCTGAATTCTACCCTGAAAGCTCTGTAAAGCTCAAGTCATGATGTAAGTAATAAATAACAGCATACTGTTCTCAATTCCAGAAAACTTATTTCATATGTAAAAGCACTCAAGGTCATTCAGGTATACTATACTACATGACGAAGTATTACATTGTATGAGAAGTAGAACTGTATGATTCTGCATTTGTCATTCCAGCTAAAAGATCACAAAAGCTTTTCATGATCTCACTACAGAAAAAGTTTGGTAATGTTACCCTTTTTCTAGGCGAGGAAAGGTGTAAGGATTTGAAAGATACCAAATTCATAAACTGAGAGATGTACAAGACTGCCCACATCTCTGGAAAAAACCAGAATCAGCACAGGGAGCACAGGAGAGCAACAGGGTGTTCTCCAACATATGGACCATTCCAGTCCCTGTCATCACCCAGCCAACAGGATACACTTCTAATGAAAACCCTGTGCGGTGTAGCAGCTAATTCCATTTCTTCATTTCAGATGAGGGTTCCACTCTAACAGTATGGATCTTCTGGAGGACAAGATTCTGTATTTGAGTAAAGGGTTTGTAGGGTTTTTTGTGCATTTTGTTTTGTTAGCTTGAGTTTGCTTTCAGTTTTGTTGGGTTTTTTGTTTGGTTTCTCTTTGTTTTTTGTTTGTTTGTTTTTTAACAATCTTTATATAAGCCACTTTAAGGCCAGTGTACAACTCCAGTCTAGGTATGCCACTTTTAAAAAGGTTCTTTTAATAGTTGAAATTATCTACAAGCTATCCTTGCAAACTTTGCCAATATCAAGCAGAGTCCTGAAAAACAGCAGGGCTATAACAACTGTACTGGCAATAAACAACTGTTTTATTTCATACCACATTGAACATGGAACTGTCATTTGCCTTTCACGAAATGCACAGTAATCCTGGTGAGACACCATCCCAATAACGTGACTGTGTTCTAAACCCAACACTAGTGGCTGGCTTAGATGGTTCCATCTTTCTTCAGAACTGATGTTCCCTTTGGCATTAACTTTCACTGAAGTACCATAAAATGTCACTACACTAACTGGTTAACTATTGCTTGTTAAAAAAATGCAAGTTTTCTTTAACCTCATTAGTAATTCTTTCTGAATTTTAATCTCTGTCCTAACCATTAAGATGAAATGCACTGCAGACATCAGCAAACTGAAAAATCAAGAGGCATCAGTTTTCTCACCAACTTTTCACGCATCAAAATAATTCTGTTGCTTGATTCAAACACTGCAATGTTAGGTTCATGTCCATCACTACCCCACTTCCCTCTGGCATTAAAAAAGCCCATGCATTTCTATTGAACTTCTGTTTGGTATAATCTGCTTTTCATGTTTAAGAGTGACCTATCTGCAATGTCTTGCGGATTGTTCTTAAGACTCCACTTAACTGCATTAATCCAATTAAGAGTGTGCCTACATAGGAACACAATCCAAAAAGTGTTCAAGTCAAATGTGAGAGAAATTCAGGCATACATGGCATACAGTTTCAGAGATTTCATCAGTTTATACCAAAAAAGAATTCAGCTCCAGAGCTCTGCTCCCACAAACATTTTCTTCATGTAATATGCAGGCATTGCATATTCCAAATAATGGATTACATAGATATGAACACCAATAAAAAAATCCAGAAAAATATCAAAGGACATCTTCCTAATAACACTCTGATACTGTCTCACCAATTTCTGCAGATATTTTTTGATTAGTGAAAATATACTTTTCTTCCCTGGAAGTACAATTAAAATAAGAAAACTTCAGTTAAGTAAAACTATTTCTAAATAAATCAACACAACCATATCACCCTCCAATTATCTAAACTCATTTTCCAAAGAAACATTAGGGAAAAAATTTTGCAGAAACATCCAATAATATTTTTTTTAAAAAAATCAGTTTTATCTACTACCAACAGTTTTAATTTTAGAAGACACAACCAACATTCCGAAATTGAAAGTATTTATCTTACATGAATCGCAATAATGCAACCTTAGAAACACTTTATAAGGACATCATAATTTTTTGCTAGTTCTTGCTTACCCTAGGCTTCTTGGAAAGGTTGAACCTTAAAAAACAAAACAAAACAAAAAAAGCATCATGACTGGAATGTTACCCCTTCTTTCTCACTGTGCCCTTCAACCCCCTTTTCTCTACCAGCATATTTATTTTCCCATTTCAGAAAGAAAAATAGATCTATCCCAACATTAGTAGAAAACTACCTACTTGCACTGCATTATGGCAACCATTCAGAGAAGGCACCAACATTGCACGCAAAGTTCAGATCTGGACACGGTCATGCATGAACTGAATATGGCAATTTCAGAGTAACCCATGGGGTAAGTACCTCGACTCTACATCCATCAAACAAAAAAAGCAAAACGGTTGTCCATTTCAGCCGCGTGAGTGCACCGACAGTGAAACTGCAGGAGATCTTTTAGATGAGAATTGAGCTGCACTGCTGAGGCTGCATGAGGATGGATACCGAGAGTTGGGGAACATGATGCGTGGCTCAAGTTATTGCTATTTGCTCCTCGCTTTCTTTTTGCATGTGTTAGGTTAGCTTTTGGTGGATTGCTCTCTTCTTTTAACCAACCAACGTAGTGCTGGTCTTAGTGTTTACAACAGACAAAGAAACAGTGGCAGAACATGTATATTCAGAACTTGCACTTGGGAGAGGGAAAGAAAGTACTGTGCAGTTAATCCAAAACAATAACATACTTCAAAACATATATATAATATATATTATATAAGCTATATAATATATGTGTATATATATGTGGCCATCTTAAACAGATCTTGCTTTTGAATGACCAACATTTACTGCCTTTATGACAACAGCTTCTGACTCAATCCATCTCTGCACATATGCAGGGCTGGGCATTCTTCGACACCATCTGATCTTCCTTTTCTTCCTTAAATAAAGATAAACCCCTTTATTCCATGAGGGAGTTAAGCACTTCTTTTCCCTTTGCAGTCCCATTTGAATGTCACCTTCATGCATCCAGACGCTGAATCTCAGGGCGATGATCTACTTCTCTGGATTCTGTCCGAGCACGTATGTAATCGCTGGTCTGCCGACTATTTTGTTGTCTGCTGGTCATTCGCCACTTTTTAATAGCTAAATATGTATTCACAGCATACACTGCCATTGCCAAGAAACCAAATATCTACAAGAAGTAGAAAAAATTGTCAAAGAATTTTTGGAAACAAGAACAATGGTAGTTTCACAATAAATCCCTCAGAAGCTTAGTTTTCTACTTTATTTGCACTGACAAATCATCATGGCTTGTAAAATTGATGTTTCTGTTCTTCAATGACCTAGAGAATCTGCAAAAGCAACTAAGATCAATGATGCCAGAAAGTAAAGTTCTCTGCTACGAACATGACAATTAAATCCTGCAATGCAACTTCAATGGAAGAATCTCTTATAAAGAACAAAGCTCTTCATCCAACAGCTCATTCTTCAGGGTGTACGTAACAATAAATGAATGACAAGAGAACAGATGACCAGTCCAGACTATTGGCCTGAAGAAGGAGCTAATTTGCTGTCCTTCTTGCAGGTTTCTGCAGAACTGTTATGTGATTTTCAGTTCTCAGGTTTGAAAAGGAATAAACAAAAAAACAACTCAAGCACAGAATTAATTTACTTAACCTTTCTGTTCTAGATTTAAAATCTTGCAGTACTACTATACTCACTCCACAGAACAAAAACTATCTGTAGTGAGCCAGAAGAACTCCGCAAATTATGTGTAAGCAGCTCCAATTTCTGGTGAATTTTTGGCGCTGTTTTCTGTTGGCTTGCAATATAGAGCAGTAAGCTAGCTACAGAGAAAGAAGCAAGGCAAATTCAACTGTTAACGTGTTCTCTGCAAGTTATTTTTCTGTTTGTTCTAGCCTCAAGCCTTAAGACAAACAACTCAAAAGATGTCAGTAATTTTTAAGTCAGAAGTAATGGCAAAGACAACAGGAGCATTCAATGAACATGAGGGAAAAGTTAGTCTTAGTTTTAACAGAAGGTAAAGAGTCATATATAAAGAAGTTCAAATTCTTACCACAGCAGCAATTTCTGCTCCAGTTTTATGGTTTAAAGCAGCAAGTACTACAGAGGCAACGAAAAAGAAGAAAGTGCTGAGTCCAGTGTTGACCAGATCCTAAAAAAATAAATTCATTAGCATTACTAAACAATTATTCTTTGCTTGCTTTTATTAGAAGTGATGAAACAGAAAAAGGTTAGAACAAGAATTCCGGCAATACTTTCCCCACAAAAGAAGGCAAAGACTGTGTCACAGAGGAAACGCAGCAGGTGTGCTCGGCAGCCTGTGAACTGAAGTCAAATACCACATATACATAAAGCCGCAGTGCAGGTTCTGGATGCGATACCTCAATTTCCCACAGTATGAATTAAAGAACCTAAACTGCTTTGAATATTAAAGATTGAGCTGTGTACATGAAGACTCCAGCGTTCAAGTAATAAAAAAAAACACCAGCTGCTTTAAAAGTTTAACATAGAAAAGCACAACAAAACTAATAGTATAATAAAATTAACAGCTGCAAAGTTAAAATGAAAGTCATATTCAAAATGAAGTAAGTTTTAATTGTAAGGGAGCTAACCATGAGAACAACCAAAGATGTACTTAATATTCCACTTTGTTCCTTATCAGCCAGATTATGCTTTTTTCAGACACACATTTTGCACTTCAGTAGTAACATACTTACAGACTAAGTGGATGATGTATAATGCTCTACGATTTATGGGGTGTTGAATCTGTGAGCTTCATGGTCTTGCCAAAGGAGAACAGCACATGCCAGACAGCCAGACCTATCCACAGCCTGACACATTACCAGCTATCTCCATGCTACAAATTGACTGGAGGGCTTCTTGTAGCAAGTTTTGAGATAGTGCAAAATAGGAAATACTGCTGAAATTAGACTGCTGGTGCCTTTATTATGATTCTTTCAGGAAGCTAAAGATATAAGTGTGTTAGAAGCTTTGTCATCATCGCTGGCATTTTACTTTATTGTACTCTTTGCAAAAAATGTCAAATTTGCCCTTGCAAAGAGTCTAACAATTCAAATCTACAGAACTGATTCTATATTGAGGCTCCAATTTATTAACTTCTGCAATTCCATTTTCCCTGTTTAGGTCAAAAACTTTTAATACAATTAATGGGTTTACATTCATAATAAGGCTGGTTTCTTAAAAAAGCTAAAACTAACACATTTCTTCATATCCACAGATCAGATTGTTTGGAGCCTAATAAGTGAAGTGAGACTATCAGTAACACGGCCATACAGACATGTAATGGTAACATCACAGAGGCAAATATAAGCCAAGGTTTTTAATCCAAAATTTGGCACTTACTACTTAGAGCAGAAAGATAAGAAAAAAAATACAACGGTTTTGGACTAAGTCAGAGCAGAAACAAAAGAGAATGAATAAGAATTCAAGAAGTAAAGGACACTGCCTATAATAATGTCGCTTTTTTTCCACGTAATAGAAAATGAATACTCGTGACAATAAAAAGAATAAACTAATTGAAAAAAGATGAGCCATTTCAAATCTGGCCATGATGTAGCTGAAGTTCTTGCTATTATATTTATAGACAAAGTAAAAACCACATCACACAGATAGAAGAATTTCTGCTGAAATTACAGCAACCTCATGAGACAGTGTGCTTTGCCATAAAACACTGTACAAAGCTGCCATCCATAACAGAGAATAAAATCTATGAGCTGAATCAAATCCACTCTAGACTGCTGCTGCTGCTCCCTTTCCCCTTTAAAAAATGACTTGAAAACTGACTTCTGGTCACTTGCAAGATATTTGAAAGTCATTCTGTTCACTCACCAATGGTCCCACTGGTTCAAAGGACACGACCCAAGGACATATATTTGCTATTGCCATCATCAGCTGTCTGTCCCACTCCAAAGGGACAATAAGGCAGGAGGCACCTTACCTTGTGGATGAAGATGGGTCTAGGCTGGGGCAGTATTTTATACTAAAAAAGGGTGAGGCTTTTGTTCTGTTGATTCTGCGATAAAGGTGGGAAACTCTGGAAAAGTGGACAGCATCCTACAGTCTTGCATTTTTAAGGCTCTGGGTAAGTATGATTCCTAGATGAATGAGGATGGAAAACTGAACTGGGTGCTCTGAATGAAAGGCCTGTTAACAGGCCTGAAAACTCCTATTAAGCAACTCCTGGAAGCTGCAAGGCACATTGGCTTCAAACGCTGCCGTGTAGCCCTCCAGTTCAGGACGTTACCAGGCATCAGTAATATCCACATGCCTTTATCCATCACTCTTCATTACTTCATATATGCCAACTTTTAAGAGATATTCAATAAAATTACAGGTTCTGCCTTTTTAGCCCTGTATTTCAACTGCACAAATGACAAGGTACTACTCAAAAGGAAGATGGTGCCATACTGCGATCGTAAGGTGTATAAACAAAAATAATACTAAACTTTATTACTAAACATTGTATGAGTATTTTGCACCAAAATTAAAAAATGGAAACACGGTTTCTCAAGCAAAAATAAGTCCCAGAAAGAACTAAATTAACAGTATTAATTAACAAATGCAACATAACAAATTAATGTAACAAATTACTTTCAGCATCTCAAGCACAGTATGTAAAAAAAAAAGTATTAACACAAGTGACTTTCAAAACCTTTCGTCACCCCTCTGAAGGTCAGGGACAAGCTATGATTTTGAAGAAATGGAAGAAGTGGCCTCAAAATCAAGATTCATATGATTTTATTTTTTTTTTCTTATTATTATTATTTTTGAGTTGGAATACAAGCTCTGTTAGGTTTAGTAACTGCTGCAGATAACAAAACAGGTTGCTGAATGAGTGCTTCTACAATCCCGGTTTCGCTTTCTTTTCTTGAAGATCACCTGTCTATTTCACTCTCAGTTCTTTCCTTGCTGCTCCTCACTGCTTTCCCTGCATGTTTTTCCAATAAACAGTCCTACAAACAGACAGGATCAGCAGTCACTGTCACAAAGCAACAGTCCTTACTAGCAATAACTACCAAATCTTGTAATACTTCACATATTTAAAAGTTTATATTTCTTACAGAATAATGCATCATTTACACCATGCTTCAACAAATCAGAACTGTCCACAAAGATCACTAAGCCAGAGGAAATAAATTCTGACAATTTTTTTTTAAATCTATAAAATATTAATTTTTATCCTTAATAGGCATTGGTGTTTTGACAACAGTAAACATAAAAGTGAAGGATGACTTAATTTCTCATTCAACACCTAAGCAAGCCAAAGAAAACCAAGATGCTTTTTCAAAAGAGAAGTGGAAAAAAAAATAGATTAAAAAAATAAAATCAAAATTGGCCTGTGAAGGCCTTTGAACTACAGCTTTGTAATTACACTCTTCAGAGCCAAGGCTGGCATGTCATCTGGCAGTTTGTCATTCTGGAACTGCATCAAATTTTCTGCCGACTACTTCAAGTGTCAGTTGCTTGCACACAAGGTTTCATCGCTGCAACAACTGAAAAAAACCTCCAAGCCTGCAAAGATGATGAAAGACATTTTCAGGCATTTCTACGTCTTCCAGGAGACACACCTGAGTCCTCGTCTTTCCTCCCTGTAGCAGTGCTTCCCTGGGACTGAGTCCAGGCTAATAAGCTCAGCAAAACTCTTAACTGCCATGCTCAGTTCTGTGCCTCCTTTTTGAGGTTGCTCTAAGCTGAAAAACTGTGCGTTCAGAACTAAACACACACACACAAAATACACTGTCAGGGCTCCAACGGATGCTTAAAGAAAAATTAAATAAAAATCAGTGGTCAAAATCAATTGGAATTTTTTTTTCCCTATACACAGATAAATAGTTTGTTCTACTGGCTGATTAAGCAGTGATTTACATCTGTAATGACTCTGATTTCTCTCATCTTACAAACTCTCATCTAAGGGACCCTATCAAATTCCAGTATTCTCAGCTATTTATTTGTACTTCTCTCCCTCCCCAAGTCATCTCGGTTGTCAGCCCTGAAAAAAAGCATTATGGTGGATCCACTCCGCAGTGACAGCACTTGTCAGCCAGCCTGACAAACCCCACACACCTGCCGGACAAACCACCACCAGAACACAAAAGGTGCCAAACACGCTTCTGTTAACTTTCCTACCCTCTCCCTACTTCTAGGGGGCCATGTCACACAGTTTGGCTGCAAGATCTTAAGCTCTCTCTGTAGATCAGATGAGATTCAAATAATGAATTTTAAGAAAGGCATCATGCAGCCCAACACAAAATCACAGCAAACGTTCTGTTATTAGATAACTCTGGGAGCAAACGTTTCAAAGCAGCAGCTCATGAGTGAAGCAGGAATCTCTGCTGTGGCGTGTTCTTCGTTCCCCCGTGCCACTTGCTGGTCTCCTTGCAGCACAGGCTCCCTTTGAGCCGTGAAGTATAAAGGAAATGGAAATTTCCACTGACAGGTTCCCCAGCTTCTGCATTTTTGCATAATATTGATAGTGCTGCACAACACAGACAAGCGTCTGTTCTTTAACCTCACGGTAACAGACCTGCCTCTTTCCAACACTCAGGCAAAATTCTTTCTGGCCTTTTCCAAGATAGCAGACATCAGACAATATCCACAACACATCAGAAAGAAGACTAACGTTAATAAACAAACAATCCTATGTTGGACAACAGCAGTTGATGGCTTGATACTTTCTAATATGCAGGATCTTTTGGAGGCAAATGGTTTCAAATGGTTCCTAGAAGGTTTGCGATTGCTGTGTTTAAAGCAAGACTTCTTCCTAAATTTAAGACTATTAAATTATTTCAAACATTGTAACAGCCTCTTCTAATCATACAGCTTCTAAAAACAAAGTTTGAGACTCTCCACAAATGAAATACGTATCATAAAGTGATACATATTTTTTTGGCATGTATATTACTGAATTTATACATAAGCAGGAGTAGCTTCCTCCTAAAACACTGAGGAGTGTAGAAGTCTGTTGCTCAGAAGGCAACTCCTCATCTATAGGGGCTTCAAAATTATCAAAGTAACCATCAAAACACAGGAAAATACAAAATATTCAAAGAGGCAAATAATGTATAATAATATACATCTAAATTGTAAAGAACAAAATGTCAAAATAAGAATGTAGAATTGTGGCTGAAGATTTGTTGGCTTAAATTTCCTATTAAGTTTTTCTTACTCATCTTCCATGGGCATTTTATCAGCAGCCTTCAATTTACTGCTCTGTCCATGGAACGACAGACTGTGGATATCTCAAAGTGAAGACATTCCCACACTCCTCTCAGTACCAGTCCTATCAGACTAATGATTGTTAAAATCAGTGAGTGATACCAGGAAGAAGGATGGTCTTACAAGGTAATGGAAGTCAGAAGCTTCCAGTTCTCACTTCCATTAGAGATCTTTGGTACAATGATGGAAGAAACATTTCATCTTTGTTATATAACTGAAAGAATGTGGCATGTGACACCCTGGCAACTTAATTCTACCTCTGTTGATGTGCCAATAGGAACTAAAGCAAAAGCATTTCCAGGGGGTTCCCTTTGCCCTTCAAGTGGAAGCCTGACCACATTGCGTTGCTCCACACTCTTTAGGTTGGAGGTTCAGAGTGTGACCATTGCACTTAAGATCAAAATATTTTCTTTGAAAAAAAATAATGAAAATTCAAACACGGACACAAAACAAAAAAAACCCCAACAAATAATCCACCCCACAACCTGTTGAATTTTAAGCCCTCTTTTCTCTTTTTTTCTCTTTTCTCTAAAAGATCTCTAATGGAGTGCTATGCAGAGACTCAAAGCAGCAATTCTTGTCACTCTAACACCGTAAGAAGTCAGGGTAGCTGAAAGAACTACCAGTTACACCTTGGTATCTGCTGCATCATTTTGGGAAAGGCAGAGAGTCGCATTTAAGCTTCTGTACTTAGGTATATTCAAGAGACTGTCAAAGCATTCCGGTCAGCAGTAAAAGTCACAGGGCTCAAGAACAGAACAAAAGGTACAGACATACAAAGTCAAGGCATTAAACCGAATCTTACAGAGATACAAGTTCAGCTCACTCACAGACACCACACATGCTGCTCTGCAGTCTCTTGAAAAAAGTTTGATTCAATTTACTTTGAACATAAGCTACATCTAGTATCCCCTGTGAAACTGTTTCCATTACACTAGCAAAACTATCACCTATTTTACCTAACACTGATGCACTTCAACACATTTGCTATCATGCTCTAGCACGTGCAGAAGTGTGTAGCACAAAGACAGTCTTCGATTGCAGTTATCAGTGTCAGGCTGTCGTGATGCTCCTCAAGCCACCGAGCTGGCCACAGAAAGAGACTGCTTCCTCTCTGTAGCTGCTGCTTTACAGCTTGTCACAAAGGTAAGTGCGATGGTGTGAGTGGCAGAATGGAGACAAAAGAAGCAAAAGCAAGACAACCCAGTAACATTCCAGTGGTTCCACTGGTTTTGTTTTGCAAGCCACCTAGATCTCCCCCATCTACAGGTACCAGTCCAGCTAATCCATCTACCAAGTACTTTTAGGAAGAGTTCCTCAATAGATCATGCATCCCCAGGGGACAAAGCATCATTAAATTCAATATTACAGTCTCGTTTTTACACAAGTCATTTAGGCTTATAAACAGCTACTGCAAATGCACAAATTGCAACATTAATAAACTGCATTGAAAACAAATTTTAAAAAATTACACAGAAGCCTGAAAACCTCGGGCTGGTCTCCAACAGTACTTATAAAACTACTATTATAAAACAAAACAGAACATAGGCACATATGTATCTGTAACGTTCAAAGAAGTTGATATAAATATTGCCCTTGAAGCTGATAGATCTTTTGCTACAGTGACTTAACATGTTGATTTTGTGACCTGTGTTTATGCAACCCAATCTGAAAGTTTAACTCATAATACTGCATGGAAATAGAGACTTGTACAAAAGGAATGTGCACTGCCAGCAGTTCTCTTCCTAAAACTCCTCATATTTGACAACACATTAAGCATAGCCAGTCAACTTTTAATATAGTTATGCAATTCAAAACACTCGATTTTCACAGAACGCACATAATTTTTTACACTACTACCCAATGATTGTATCAATCTGTGTAGGAAAATATATGTAGCCTGGCTGTTCTAATAATAAAAAAACAGCTTAAGAGAGAACAACGGGCTACTGTAAATGCAGCATCTGACAAAGTTAAATAGCTACAGGCTGCTTTTTTATCCACTTCATCCACAAACAGTAATTGCTGGCATTAGCACAAGTTTTTCCTTCCAAAGAGAATCTACCAGAAGACAATTTTAGTTCTATTTAATATAGTCTAATCTTGCTACATTTTAAAGCTGATTCTGCTGTTAGTATTAAAAATAAGTAAGTTAAATGTATATATTATACAGCATACAGAACACTCATACACAACCTTAAACAACAGTAGAAAGTAACATTCAAAGACCAAATTTAAAAACGATTTGCAGCTATTTTTAACTGAGGATTTGTATGAACTTACAGTAAGATTCCAGTTGATCTGTGGTATTCTTGTGTGAAGATTTAGACTGAACATAAGCAATAGAACTCCAGTAACCACCAATGCACTGCAGCTCACAAACTCAAAGAAATAAAGGCCTTCACAAGGGGAGCATTCCATGATGGTCTCTATGCAGATGAATGCAATCAGTGCCAAAACCTAGGAAGAAAAACAAGTGGAAAAAAATATAAATAGATTTCCACATTTTGAAAGCAGCCACAAGTATTCCTGAAATTTCCACTGGGAACATGATCAGTTTACACTCCGGAATGTGTGATTTTAGTTTATAACAGGGCACTGTCTAAAGAACAAAAACAAAAGCAAATTAATGCAAGACTCTCTGGATATCTCCTGTTTAACAAAGCATATTTTAGCAAAATTACAAGGAGTTTAACATCAAAATGACTGAGACACCCAGAAAGGCATGAAAACCTTACAGGCCATTGGCTTAATATGCAAACGCTTTATTTCATTTTTCACTCACGGTAGGCTATTTCAAAACCTGAAGATGGAATGCATGTATCTATCGGGCCAACCTCAAGCCCAATGACATAGTATTAACGTAGTGTTACTGTGAAAGAAATTTCAATAAAGCTGTTACTGAAAATTCACTAACAACTTCAGATCTAAACAAATTCACAACAGAATAGATTCCAAATCTCTACCACCCTCCAAAACCATCTGCCTTGCTCATGTTTTTTTGTCACCAATATGCTATATGCCATATAAAAATGTATTCTATCATTCCCATATAAGACAATAACACAAGCAGCAAGAGATGAAGGAAAAACTCCTGGTGCTGCAAACACATACAGCTAACTGGGACAATGGTTAGTCACACTAAATTCAGAAGGTATCTTGGTAAACACAAATGAAGACTTCTGCAACCCGAGAGTTTAATTTACTAATTAGACTAAAAAAAAATGAAATTCACTCTGCTTCCCATGATCAGGGTTAAAGGAATAGCTAAAACAAATTAAAAAAAAAAACACTCAACAAACACCAAAGAAACTCAACAACAACAAAAAATAAACAAACAAAAACTCCCCACCAAACACAACCCCTCTGCCCCAAAAAAACCCTAACCCACAACTGTCAAGTAACACCTCTTTTCATAGTTTAGAGTGATGAGTTCTGACAAGTTTTTCCACAAGCAGAAGTTTCAAGGTTGGTTTACTGAGGAAAAATGAGAAGTTGAATGTGGCAGAGATCTCCTCTTCCACAAATTCCTGTTCTCTCTCACAAATGACACAGCTACAGCTTTCTCGAGCAGAGTCTAGACAGAAATTTTTTTGTGATGGATGAAACAAATCTTTTCATCTATTTTTCTCTCCACTGTGTACTTCAGAGAGTTTTCTATTCCATCCTAATTCCTGCAATGCTCTAAATTCTGTGTAACACTTATTACTATCTTTAAGTTAGTTTTAGTTTCACTTCTACTTCCACTCTTCTTGAAGTACAGTGGATACTTTGTCATAATGGAAACATCTGCTTATTCTACTGGATGCTCAGGGCCATGCAGAGGCTTGCAGAGCTTTTTTATTCAACAAAGGAGATGCAGAAGACTGGTCAGCAAAGCTGGACCAACATGAACAAGCTTCAGGGTAAGCTGAGACAAGGTCTGGGTCTGCTCCACGCATGCGCTTCAGCTCCGGCAACTGCGACAAAGCAAACCTGCCCCTGCCCTTCACCCCTCATCTCCGACCACCACGTAATGCAAAGGCAGAAGAAAAAAAAATCCCCAAGTATAGGAGTACATACGAGATGGGATTTTTTGGTGCTTTTTGTCTTGAATAAACTGGCAAATTGTTACCCGATTTTATTGTCTTGCACACTGAGGGCTGCTAAGACAACTCCTGTACAGGGTGAAGCTCTTGCACTTCTGTTGAGGAGCACTGAACCCCCACATAAAGGCTCTTTTCAGAGGGAGCAGCCCCTCACTGGAAGGAGATGAAGCGACCACAATTTAGAGCCATTTAACTCCTGAAAGAGAGCCTCTACGCTGGGATCCAATGTCCTTTAATTTAGCCACATTCGCCTCCTACCATTATTGTATTCTTCTCAACTTTCCTGCAAATTTCCCTGGAGAAGGGCGCTTAATGAAGAAATCATCTGCCTTAGGGCTATGTAAATGGATTTTATTTACATCACTTTCTTGGCAACCCTGGCAACTCAGACATGTAACACTGTATTTCCCCAAAAGGGAGAAAATGAAAGAGAGCTTTTAGGAGGTTGCTAACGGTGTATTTTTCCTGTCAGAACATGTTGTGTTTTATTTTTGAAGAAAATAATCAAACAACTTTGCACTAAAAATAAAAGAGACAGTTCTGCAATGAAAACAAAGTAAAAAAAAAAAAAAAGAAAGAGTTTTCCTGTTTATCTAAAATGTTACCACAGAAAGCCTTATTGTGTGGTTAAATGACATAATTACACATGATTTCCAAAAAACCACAAAATGGTCAGCATTTTTTCTGCCTGAAAAATACCCACAGAATTTTAGGAAGAATGTCACACTACCAAGACATTTTTACATCCAGACTGTTTAAATTAATGGTACAGCAGAATACATACGCATAAAACACAATAAATAAATCGCTTTTACACCACTTAAAGTATCCAAAGACATTAAATTTTCCTGAATTAAAATCTAGAATTATTGTTCCTCATTTACTTGGCCCCACAGCCCAAACTTAATGTATGAAACCTAATGGGTCTCATTCCTTGCAAAGCACATGCATTTCCCACATCTAAAACAGCTGGCACAGATACGAATATTTGGGATCATATGGCTGAAACACAGTTCTGCTTCTCCAGCAGGAAACCATCTTTTACCCTAAGCAGAAGAATGACTGATTTCCCGCCTGTTAGTAGTCTGCATCTGTAAGACTAAAAGAAATGCGCTATTAACTCTGGTAATTGGACTGCAAGGAGCCTTAAATCGCAAGCGAGAATTTAACTTTTCTTACAAGATAGAAAATTCAGGAAAATGACACCTACCAGAAAGGGAAGCTTAAGAAGCACCAGTAATTCAGCACCCTGGCTAAAGTAAATTGTGCCCTAATGGCACAAAATACAATGCTGAACAAATCCAGAGAAACTCAACCAGACCTCCAAATTCAACTTTAATTAGGTTTCGGTGATGATGATAGAAATAGCAGCAAAATATTTAAATTTCAGATCTTCATTGTACCTCTAGGTTTTTGCATGTAGCTGCAATACTTCAGTTTTCATTATTTCTTAGTTCACTTTTGGATGTAACATGGCAAGACTTCAGCACATGAAGCATTGTGGAATCTTTGTTAATCAGCTGATCTTTTGCCACCTCCAGCAGTTTTCTATAATCCTTGAAGGATTCAGCTACTGCTGACTTCCCGTTCTGAACTTTGACAAAAGACCAATTCTAAATATCGAACATCTTTCTGAGGCCAGAAACATTTTGATGGGGTATTATGATAAAAAAGTAATATTTAAGAATGAGGATAATCAACACTCAAAGCTAAAAACAGAATGATAGCTGTTTTAAAACTCTGAGTACATCAAAACTAACATTTACTCTAAAAAATAAAAATAAACTAATCAAATTGAACTAAGGTGAACAGAAGATATCCTCAACTGGCTAAAACAGAAATGCATCAGTTTTAAAAGTGAACTTAACCACAGAGTCTAGAATGAAAGAAAACTGCAGTCATGCAGTGACTTATTTCCTGCTAACAATGTTTTGTTTATTGCTAGGACACTCCTAAACAAGAAACATCCCTACCTGCTAGATAAATGCAAAACTGACGCCAGTTCCAATACCACTAAACAAATAGTATTTTACAGTACAGAAATACTTTATGGTTCGGGGTTTTTTTGAAGAAAAAAACATAGTTCTTCCTGTTACTGCTAAATAATTTAGGATATTTTTTCAGGTTACATTTATATTGTCTTCAAAGTAAACCCATTTTAACACTCAAAGTAGTAACTGGACACGCAGACAGTTGCAAAGCCCTGGTCTGCACGTCTCCCGCGTGGCTCATGCTGGAAGCATCAGCGACCCAGCACACAGCACGCTGCTCCACACAAGGTGGCCTCAGGCTGCAGCACTGGGCACAGCTGTGGCCACCACCTCCTCCTCTTCCTCCCTCGAAGGGCAGAGTCCCAGGTGACCGCTCACCCCAGCACCCTGTGGCACGAGGGGCGTGCCCCGCTGGGACGGGAAGAGCCGCCTCACAACCCCGGCTCTGGCCCTGTCTCCGCCAATACTTATTCACATGTACCATAATTCAAAGTATTTTCATTAGCAACAGGTCCTGCAAGACAATGATGAACAGAATCCCAACATACTGAGTTAGACATTTCTAACTTTCCCATTTATATGCTGGACTAATTTCTACACAATGAGTGAAATGAACAACTCATAAATGAGAAGACTTATTCTGTATCTATAGTACACTGAATTGTGCCAGTGGCTTCAGTGAGGAGACATAAATCAGTAAATTATAAGAGGTAGGGTTCCCCCACTCCTTGTCATCACATCCTGGTATCTGAGGCTTGATTTTCGCACACATTGTCTCATACTCATTTTGACAAGATACCTGCAAGCACAGCTCTCTAATTCCCAAACACGACAAGCTAGTCTCCCTAACAATACTGCCTGGAGCAAGACAGAGGCAGCTGCAACTTAAAAAGGTCAGACAGCAAAATTTTCTCAACAGCCACCTCAGTGCTGCACTTAATGTAATTTTGTACACGAGTCCCCTGCATCTGCCTCAGCCACTGCCAACTGCACATCGTGAGGGCACAAGGAGAATAAAATATGTTTCCATTAGTTCCATTTGCTGCTACTCCGACTCAAGAGAGCATGTCCAGGAGAGGCACCTCTCGGCACACTGTGCGACCTCCCATTCCAATACCTACAGTCCATTTCCAAGTTTCTTCTATTAAGTCAAACTGTAAGAACTCATAACTTAGCATATCTTTGCTCTTTAAACAAAAAGAATAAATGCAGTTATCCTATTTTTGTCTTCAGGCTGTATACACATGTTCTGTACGGTACATACACACATGCTCTCTGAAATTGTGTGTGGCTATTGCTTCACTTACAATCAGCACTTTTGATCTGTCTTTGTGTTCCCATTCACATTAATAGGCCAATCTGTTGGAAACCTTGGCTAGTG